CTTTTATAAAGAATATCTCTTTGGATTTGAGACTTTAGTCTTTGCAACTTTACAGATCTTCTTTATGCACCAAGAGCTTGTAACACTCTAAAGAGAAAGGAAAAAATGAAATCGCATCATATGACCCCTTTAAAGTGTTGAAAATGTGTTTTAGTTTTTTTTTCTTTCAAACATTTTTTTGTTGTCCCACATTATCAAATATGATTGAGAATGTGGGACAGCATGCTTTGGGTAATCTGGGACAGTCTTCAAATGGAGGAAATATGCATTTAGGGACTTTATAAGTCTAATGACAAGGGATAATATATGCTATAATGAGAAATGGGTGTTAATGTGGACTACTGGAGGTTATAACATTAGCATAAGTTCACAGTAGCTAGCAGCTAGCTAAACCAGCTGATGCTACAGATGCTACAGATATGGAATCTGGGAAACGTATTCCAATAGCAAGCAAAGGTATCAGGATGATTAATTTCATACACACACATTGGTATCACGAAACATGTGCAGAAGATAATGGCGTGATAGATGATGATGGGTCTCTCACCTGCAAGGAGTGTTTGTTCCCCGAGTAGCCCCAATTTTAATAGAATGGAGAACTTGAATAACCGAATGAATAATCCGTTAATCAAATTGTTGCTTGCTGTTGCTTACATTTTAGCAGATTTTTTAAGATGTTAATACAACGTTAAACAATTTTATTTGAGTTTTAAATTAATTTAAATGAATTAACACAGTAGATCGTTAATCCTGTGGAGAGATAGAAATTATGTTTCCTGATATTGGAATATATATTTTCTTATTGAGATTTCTGTACTTGTCATTTTTTTCATAATGCTTTTTAAAAATTGGAGATATTGTGTTTGGCATGCATAAAGTATGGTGAATATAGGCTTTTATTAGGCCAATGTTCCAGATTACAAAGTGACCTGTCCCCGATTATCAAATTCAGGCAGAATTTTTATTTTTATTTTTTGGCACAAAAACACTAATAGGTGTGGCATGTCTCCTCTGGGTATAATATCTACATGCTTTCTTCTGGTGTGGTTAGAAAACATCTTAGGGATTTCAGAAAATTCTAATGTGTTGATCTAATGCAGGGGTAGGCAAGTTCGGCCCTAGAGAGCCGCAGTCCTGCAGAGTTCAGCTCCAACCCTAATCAAACACACCTGAACAAGCTAATCAATGTCTTCAGGATTACTAAGGCTATAGGCAGGTGAGGTTTTTTTTCAGGGTTGGAGCTGAACTCTGCAGGACTGCGGCTCTCTAGGACCGAACTTGCCTACCCCTGATCTAACGTGTTAGATATTGAAATAAATCGCAGAAGTCAAAATTGCAAAAATGTCCCAGATTACCCGAATTCACCATATTTTTCCACATACAAACAAAAGACAAACAACAATGCATATTTGCATTAGACCAGTAGGAGCATGCGTATAAATTGAAGAATAAATAAATAAATATAATAAAATTAGCGAAAACTAAAAAGGCTAGGGTGAAAAGGGCTTAAATAATAATAATAATAATAATAATAATAATAATAACAATAACAATACTACTACTACTACTAATAATAATATTTTGTTGCCGCTCTCTCTCTCTCTCTATCAGCTTAATGGCTTTTTCTTGTGATAAATATCTCCTGTGCATTTAATAAACTTTATTCAAGACAATTACACATCACCAGCATTTTATGCCATTTTCATCGCAAAGCCTTATTTTAAAATGTTGACTATGCTATTCACACTCTACAACTCTGTTTTATGCAAATACGGTCTCCACAGTTCCAGAATTTTCTAACAGGCTAATAACGGGCAGTCCGGGGTCCTGAATCAGCCATTTGAACTTGTTGTTTACCTTCTGAACAGAGAGAGAGAAAATGATGCAAAAAATAATCAAGCGGATCGGACCCAAATATGTCTCCATTGCCAGAACGTGGTAAGTTCATCTTTGATTTAATAAACAGTTAAGTAGAACAGGAACTTAAAAGTCAAGCAGCTCATCTGACATTCAGCGTGTGTTTCCACTGTTATAATTCCAGAATAGCATGCTATTAATTAGTAATTATAGATTTTTGACATACTATTGCTTCTTTTCTTGCAATTCAGGGTTCCCACGCTGGTCGGATGGGGTACAGTTGGTGGCCTGGCTGTTGTCTATTTTACAGACTGGCGGATGATTCTGGATTATGTTCCCTACATTAGAGGCAAATTCAAGAAGGACGACTAGTTGTCCAAATCTGTGGAAATCGGTTGCTGTGCATTTTTACAGGGAACAAATCAAGCTGATGCTTTGACTAGCCAGTATAGGCGGCGCTGGTGATGTGACATTCAGCCATAAAGACCGAAGATCTGTCACTTCATTTTATGTGTTGAATAATATCTAATGATGTTGTTTTTTCTGTGTAAATCAGACTAGCATGTCTTGCTAACAAGTTGTTGTCTGTACAGGGAGCTGGAAATGGTTCTGTTTTATGCTTGGCACATCACTCCGCTTGAGTTTGCACACTGAGCCTGCAAGTTTTATATTGCGTTACTTTTGTGAATAAATGGTAATGTTTCTCTATGCATGTGTCATAACATTTATTTAGGCTAGTGGATTATAATTCATGCGACAGTTTTTACATATTCCTTGTACTTCTTAATAAACTGTGCACTTCATGTTGATGGAAATCAGCGTCTCTTTGAGGAGGCATCTTGCTTTCTTACCCAGACAAAATGTTACCATGGTAACCATGGTTTCCGCCAAAATGCCCCTCACAAAAAAAGACATTCTCCCAGAATCCCATGCACATGTATTGCAGCACAATCCCACAGGATTTTCGTATGGGATTTCCTGCAGGACTTTTAAAATCCCCACAAGACTCGTGCAGGAAACCTACTGTACAACTTCTTAAACAGGAACCTGACAAGTAGTGAACTGTACTTAAAATAAAATAAAAAATAGTAATAATATGACGATAAAATCTTACATGGTTTTGAAGAACAACAAAAAGTAATGTTTTACAGTAACTGAATCGGTAACTGTTGTTACCATGGTATTTTTTTGTACGCAACAAACAAAGCTAATTCACACAGCCTAAAACATATTGTAAAATGACCTGTATAATATGAAAATACATTTTCTTCGATTAAATAACGCGACAAATCTTTGCTACATGAAACAAACAATGCATTGTATTGTCATGTAGTTTGTCGTTACCCGACTACCGCAGGGCTTTGTCTCGTTAAATCAACCCTAATCGGGCATAATGTCTTTCATTTGTCTCATTGAAGGGGGAGGGGAGTGAAAGTATAGAGGAAGAGAGGGGGATTTAACATTCACAAAAAGGCGACACCAACAGAGAATGCGCGATGGAGAAAAACGAGTAAGTATAACCGATTTAAAATAGCAAACGTATTAAATCGCGATCCGCATCTGCATTTATAGTCATGCTGGTTTACGAGCTAAGCGATCGCTTTTGTTAAATTGAGTCGACTAGTCTCCGCTTTGCCGGGGCTACTAGTTTGCGCAGTGCTTTCAATCGGCGATGGACTTAAAGAAAGAAAACGCGCATAGCGTATGATAAACTAATTAATGTAATAGAGTAACACAGCGGCCTGTACGGCTACATGCATGAACAGATAAACTTAAGTATTTGGAAGCGTGTTTTGTCTTAACATGAAAAAAGCTAAAGGTTTTGCGAAATAAACGGTTTATTTAACCTTGTTTTAACGTCGCGCTGGACCAGGTGCCGCATCTGTTTGACAACACCGATTGTCATTTTAACGCACGATGTTCATAAGATATGTAGTTTTTACCAACCGTAGTCTTTCATTCAGTTTCTCGATAAAAAGACGTGTGCCTATGTCTCCGGTTTTACTGGCAATGCATTTGTTTACATTCACAATTGGTCGAGGTTACGCAAAATGTGATACTGTGGTAACATAACAAAGAGATGCCGGAATTGCAGCATTGTCTGCAACGAAAATACGCATACATTCATTATACCACGAGTGCCACTACAGGGTTATGGCATCTGTATGATGCATGAGGCGTAAGTGTAGCCTATTTTCCAAGCGGAGGAATCTTATATTGAGCAGAAGAGCCCAAAGTGATGAGGCTACGATACGGCGGAACGTTTTGCAAAGTGACAAAGCAACATTATAGAAAATAGACACTGTACTGCTGCATAAAGGTCCTTTGTAGTTATTATTTAGTAAAAACATTAGATAATGTGAGATATGGACTGTCTCATGGAGTGAAAAGTGGGAGTGCTGGGATTGAGGAGGGATTAAGCCATGTGTGTTATGTTAGGTACTGAGTACAGAGGGGGGATTGTCATGTAAAAGTAGGCCCAGCTGTGGAGAGGATTTTGTGTGCTTTATTTCAGAAGAGGGTGGGGGTGCATGTCAATTGAGTATGTGAATCGAATCCAAATTGAATTGGCTCTTTTTTTTTCTAATGATTCGGCTAGACCGGTTTAGAATTACAAAAAAGTTATTTCAATGGTTTGTCAAAGACTTTGAGTCAAACTGCACTAAATATCAGCTGAAGGAGAGAGAGAGAGACATAAAGTGCACTAAATGTATGTAAATGAATACATATACAGAAAAACACCTTTGTCTGCAGTGGTAACCATAGCAACATCTGATTTTGTTTTCTTTGATACAAGCTGGTCAAAAGACCATTTGAGAAATGAGTCAGGCATCCTATCTGTTGGCAAGTCAGATTTGTTTTAACGAATATGACTGTTGAAAGAAGTTTTATTGATTCATCAGTTCAGTTCATTTGAGAAACTTTACGTTTGTTTGCATTGTCACACTGAATAAAACTTTTTTTGCCAAATTAATTTTCAAACTGGTTTGAAGAAATGTGTGAAATTTGCATTGTTTCATTTATGATTCACCGACCTAACAGAATTGTTTCGGCAGAGCCATTCAAAAGAACCAGTTTTAAAAAATGGTTCATTTGAATCTCTATTCAGTTGGTTTTTATCATGGTAAATTTAACAAATTGTCTCATTTTGTGAATGTCAATATGTCTAGTGATGCATTTGTTTACATTCACAGTTGACCGAGTTTTTATGCGAAATGTTTACTTTTTTACAGCATTTATGGCACCAAAAATGGTTTGTTTGGATCTCTATTCCATTTTCCTATTCCATTGGTATTATCAACTGTTAAGTTGAACAAATTATGTCTCATGGTCTGAATAAACCTATTTTCCCCAGGATTCCCAGTCAACAACATGTCATAAATAGACATGACTGTTCTTTTTTTTAGCAGAGGTGAGGAAGAAGAGGAAGAACAGAGGCGAGAGAGGGGGGAGGCAGGTCGTTTGTATAGTTTGTGGTATCGTATTACTTAATCAATTAAAAAACCATCTATGTTGTTACATGTTTGCACGCCTTGACAAGCTTGAAGAGCCATCGACTAAAACCAAAAAAGTTTGTCCAGAGTTGTGCATGAACTTGAGACAAGCACGAAATCTTCATGGTATCATCATGACATGCAGAGTATTCAGTGAACTCATCTTTGCATCACACCTGTGTGTCAACTAACTTTTAACAGAGGATCGTGATTTAAAGGACTGGGTTTGTTTCAGAAGCAGAAGTGCAACTGCTTAGTGCAGAACGTCAGCTGAGATCTAGACAAGCTATGTGAAACAAATGTAAACATTTGGCAGAGAAGATTGACAAGGACAGCTTACAGAGCTTGTTAGGGCACTTAAAAGGACGTTATCTAGTACAAGTGTTTGAAAACCCTAGTAGACAGAGTACAGGAATGTATTCATTCTTGTGTTTAAAAGTGAGACTAGATCAAGAATAGTTTTTTTTCTCTGTGCACATACTGCTCTTAGAGCAAATATGCAATATTAAATTAAAAATATTATTACTTTTAGTTTTAATTATATTGAATTATATATTAAATAAACAGGTATGTGCATTCAAAATTCATATCAATTCATATGTGTTTTAAGCATTAAAATGACATTTTGAATGTGATTTTAATGCCGTCATAATTGTCAGTGTTAAGAGGCAGAAAAGCGTTCTAGTCCTCACAGTATTCATGGTCTAATAACATTGTCATTTCGTCATCACAGGCTTGGGATTTATCAAAATTCTTTCCAAGTTAGGCATTGCATGTCATTGTTTGCATATATTGTGTGTTAATATCCGTATGCATCTGCCGTCACCAAAACCCATTCTCTTTCCAAATGTGCATCCATACGGGTTTATCAAATCTCTGAGATGTGTCCTATCTTGCTCACCCTCGCCAGCCCCACTGGGAAGAAGTTCCGGAGCAAGCCTCAATTGGCCCGTTACCTTGGCAACTCCATGGATCTCAGCTCCTTTGATTTCCGCACAGGCAAGATGCTTATGAGCAAACTGAACAAGAACAGACAGAGACCCCGATATGACAACAATAGCCAGACTAAGGTGAGAGGACTGCAGAGGCTCAATAAATTGTCATTTGATAAATGTTATTTGAACAAACATTTTCACATTCAGAAAAACATATTCATCGTCCTAGATTTATAACTGCAGAGTGATTCATTAAGAAGAAATGCATGGCATTTAAAACAAATTACAGTAATAGTTCGCCCAAAAATGAAACTTTGCCAAAAATGTACTCACCCTCAGGCCATCCAAGATGTAGATGAGTTTGTTTCTTGATCAGAATAGATTTGGAGAAATTTAGCATTACATCACTTGCTCACCAGTGGATCCTCTGCAGTGAATGGGTGCCGTCAGAATGAGAGTCCAAACAGCTGATAAAAACATCACAGTAATCCACAAGTTATCCCCATGACAGCAGTCATCAGTTAAAATCTTGTGAAGCAAAAGCTGTGTGTTTGTAAGAACAAATCCATCCTTAAGATGTTGTTAATATCAAACCATTGTTTCCAGCTAAAATACGAGTCTTCTATCTATAACATTGCTTTGTCCATTGAAAAAGTCATCTCGTCTGAAACAGGAGAGAAATATGCACTGTTTATAAAACGGTCCAAAACAGTTCTAAACAAATATATGTAGATGTAAGAAGACAACAGGGGATGGGCTTTTTCACTGGAGGAAGAGTTATTATGAATTATGGACTCAAATTTCAGCTAGAAGTGACACTTTAAAGTCAAAATGACTTAATGATGGATACGTTTCTCAAAAACACGCAGCTTTTCAGTTCACAAGATGTTAATTGATGGACAGTAGTCGTGTGGATTGCTTGGGATGTTTTTATCAGCTGTTTAGACTCTCATTCTGACGGCACCCATTGAAAATGCTGAGGGTCCATTGGTGAGAAAGTGATGTAATGCTAAATGCTAAAAATGTAGCTCATCTACATCTTGGATAGCCTTGGGGTGAGTACATGACAATCATATTTTCATTTTTGGGTGAATTATTTCTTTTAAGGCTATTTCAAGCCAGTTTTACTGGTCAAGCTGGTCTACCTGCAAAAATATCCAGTAAAAGACCAGCAATTCCAATCAAAAACCAGTTTAGTAAAGTGTGTTACATCTTTAACAGGGCAAACCCGACCTGAATACGTCCCTCCCAGTACGACAGACGGCCTCCATCTTCAAAC